CCTAGTTAGTTCATTATTTCTAATACTTCTAATCATCATAGATTGACACTACCGAATATTTTGAAAGTAGAACGAAATAACTGATTTTCCATGACTCACTGGTTGAAGTCATTTCATGATCCCAATTGTTATTAATGTATTTTAAAAATTACGATTGACATTTAAACTATCTTCATAATAAATAGTACCCTAAGTAATATTAACATTAAAAGTGCTAGACCATGTTCTTACTTTCGACTTGTTAACAAAAAAACTTGATCATTACTAGAAGCTTCATTTAACAAATAATACAATTTCAAGTAAGATTTAATTCACATGAAAACCAATCCTTTCTTTCATTTACTTTTTAATATAATTTATTAAATTTAATAATAAAATTAGTAAAGTATCGTGTGTGCAGAGTGTTAGGTCCCGGTAAGAATAATGAATTGTAACTTTTGGAATCCATTTGTGGACCAATAATATACGTATAGTTTTATCTTATAATTGTTAAATAACTAAACTATTTATATTCATACCCCTCGTATTATGAGCTTTATTTTGCCTTATGAACTATTATTATGCGATTTACCATTCTTGAGTTATTCCCTGTTTATTAATTACTACCTCCCTCATTCACAGCCACATTTGGCCAAATCTTGTACAGATGTTGTTTCCTATTTTATTGGTACGATGTGGTCTGTCTGGTTGGTATATAAACCCAGTGTGCTTGAAGTAAATGATTCATATCGCAGAGGCTGATCTTGCTGTTCTGGACTTAACTGGCTGAGCTAGGTGGAAAGCAGGACCAATCAGGACTCTAGGCTGCTCGTACGGGTTTTACGTGTTATTGGTTCGATCGATAATTATTCACTGCTCTCTAATTGGCGGTATCATTACGTATACATTAGCCGGGCACACAGGTCACAAGTTATAACACAGAGTTTGAATATTTCTAATTATTAAATCACTGTAAAATATAATTTATTTTTATGAATAAATATGCGTGAAAATATTATTTAACTGGTTTGATTACAGTTATAAGAAAGAGACGTGATGTAATGAATACAATCTAATTAGTAGCAAACAGCAGTTCGACAGGTATAACGATTCGAAACCAGTCAAATATTGTACTAATGAGTGAATTACTTCTTTAACCCTTGTAAGGTTTTATTGCTAAACTTAATTTACGCCAAAAAGCAAATTTGAATTGTATTATTATTAGTATCACTTTTGTAATCAAACAACTTATAATTTTATTATGAAATTGATAGCTTCCGTAACTCTGTATTTGATGAGTAAACTATGATATTGTAATAAAAAATGATCCTAATACCACTGATTTCCATATCATATTTGACAATATGATATATATTGAAAGAGAAAGGTGATTTATGAAGATTATGCTTTTTAAGCGAATATCCTATTTGAATATGAACACCAATAAACAAATCTAAGTAGTATTCCAGTTATTGCCTGAAACTAAATGAATACTTATTAATCATAGTTTTATCTCTGATCCTACTTACTCTTTTTCCGAACAGAGACTTTAATTTTGGTTCTACATCATACTTAGTTCAGCTTCACAAAAATCAACCAACATCTTTATTGGCAAGAGTTCATATTTTTTAGTTGTTGATATTTAGGACTGCAATTGATCAGTCTTTATTGATACATATCCATACGAATCAGACTGTCTCAATGTTGTCATTTAGTTACAATTTTTAATAAAGCTGGGTTCTCGCCATCATTGTAATCATCCACAATCCTTAATATTAAGTAAGAGACTTTAGAAACCCTTCTAAATAAATGTATACCCATTGAAAAAAATAGTGGCTTTTTGTACTCAATAGCTGAGTGAATAATGAGTTAATGTTTGAAGTAATAGATTCAACGGTTTAGATCTTAGGGTAAATATCAACATTGGGATGAAGATGCATCTACCTGAAATGTCCCAAATGCGATGAAATGCGAGTTCTGGGTTTGTCTGCTGGTTATAACTTTACTAATAATAAATTATGAAATTTGGCCAAATTAAATTTACTAAATAGCATTTGCGATAACATGAAAACTAACCGGAATATTTCATCCAACGTTATAGGAATCATCTCAGTAGTTGATCGTCGTCTGAGAAAAGATAATGATGATACTAATAATTGCGTTGATCTATATTTCGATGTTTCATCTTCATCACTTCCAGTATTATGATGATGAGAAGAACAAACCTGATTTGAAGAATGCCCAATAGGTTCCTCAAAATTACTGACATTATTTCTCATTATTTCAAATGGTTGATTCTGAACCACCGATATATCCGGTTGTAAATCACGTCGATGTAAAAATGACTGAATAAGAGTTTCAAAAATTTTTTCAAAATAAACAGTTATGATAAAATAATATCTCATATCATTAAACAAAAACAAACAGTATTTAATTGTTGGATGAATAACTGACAGACACCTAAATGATAATGAAACCGAACAGTTTCTAATTGCTGAAGAAATATTGGTTACAAAAGTTATTAGCTGAATTCTGTCACCGAATCCCAAATTGAATGCACTAGGGATCTTATCTCTAAACTTAAGATAGAATCCTTTGGTTATGACAAAATTGTTATGGATTTAAATATTGTATGTCGTATTAAACTTAATAACTTCATTCGCGATGTTCAGTCGAAAACCAGTCACAAATTCATGAAGAAATTAACCAAAACACTTGTTAAAGAACAAAACCACGTGGCATTTCCTACCAATCCACGAAAATACATACAGAACTTATCGAATAAAAAACTAAGTCGAATTGAAACTGAAGCACTCTGCCTTGGATTCAAATTTCATATCCCAAGAAAATGCAACAGAGTAGACACTGAAACGCAGTTTGAATATTTATATCAACAATTGTCAGACCTTAAACCCATGAACGACGAAAAGCATAGTTGGTTTAAATCTAAATTAGTGGATATCACAAACCAGTATGTTACGACACCAATCCCACACTCAAGGGTGTTCACCGAAGATCACCATCAAGCATTGGAAAAACTTATTAAAGACGAAACAATAATGCTACTTCGTCTGGATAAGGGTTCCAGTTTAGTCATTCTAAACAGAGATGAATATAATAATAAGGTAATGTCCATTTTAAATAACACCACCAGATTTATCATCGACAATACCCAGAAAGACTTGACAGATGCGACAGAGAAACGTGTCTTAAGAAAGTTGAGAGAACTCTTTAAGAAAAATCTAATAGATAATCATACGTATAACGAACTCAAACCAAAAGGGTCACAATTGCCATACTTATATGGGCTACCCAAAACACATAAACCCGACATCCCTATAAGACCAATATTATCTATGGCCAAATCACCCTTTCATAAACTTGCCCTCTGGCCGACTAGATGCTTAGAACCAATCCGCAAGAAACTAGCAACCTACAGTTTGAAAGACAGCTTTGAATTTGTACAAAAACTTGATAACCTTAATGTCTCTGACAAATTCATGGTTTCATTTGATGTTTCTTTGCTTTTCACAAATATCCTCTTGGAAGAAACGGCAGAGATCATATGTGAATATCCAGGACTCCTGCCTTTACCAACCCAGAAATTTAAACAGCTCCTGTTTTTGTGTACAAAACACACAATTTAAATTTATCAATGTTCTGTACCGCCAGATTGATGGAGTAGCAATGGGCAGCCCTCTGGGCCCAATTCTTGCCGACATATTTATGGTACATCTGGAACAAAAGAAACTTAAGCACGCAATCAAAAGTACCACAATCTACTGCAGATACATGGATGACACGTTCCTTGTCTGCAAAAATCACCAACACTCCATGTACCTACTCAGTCTGTTCAGTAAAGTACACAAAGATATAGAATTTACCATGGAACATGAAGTTGATGATAAATGCCATTTCCTAGATATTGGAATTAGGCGAACATCAGATGGCACACTACAAAGACACATTCACCGCAAAAATACTTGGAGCGGAGTTTATCTCAATTTTAATAGCTTCTGTTCAATGAGTTATAAAAAGGGTATTGTGCGAAACCTTTTTGACCGCGCACGCAAAATCTGCTCAAGAGAATGCCTCGAAGAAGAAATTGCTACAATCACCAAATGTCTGCGTGAAAATGCATATCCGGAGAAATTCATCCACAAATATGCTAATACAAACCCTCCGATTAAGCATGATACAGTTGAAAAGAAAACCTGCTTCCTATCCTTACGCTTCAAAGGAGATGAAGTCGCCGGAATTATTAATCACAGAATTAATTCCGCTTTAAAAGTGGCCTACCCGGCAGCCAAACTGACTACGTTATGGAAAACATACTACTCACTGAAACAAACGAAGATCGACAAGTCCTCTCCCCTCAGTTGCTCCAACTGCATTTACCAATTCACATGTACGTGCCGTAGCACATACATTGGAAGAACTGAGAGAAGAGTACAAGTTCGCATTTCTGAGCATATTCCGAAGAACTAGACGCTGCGAGGGACTAAAGCTTTCAATAGTGCAATAGCTTGGCATCTACTTGAACCGGGCATACCGTCGATATTCTGCACGCGTTTAAAATTATCAATAGACAATTAAGTACTACCACTCTCCGCTTTGCTGAAGCCATTGCAATTAAGAAACGGAAACCGGATTTATGCATTCAAAAAGAGACTTTAATAAACTTATCACTACCCTGGTAATCTCTTTTGTTTCCGTTTGTTTTTTGTGTTTTGGTTATTTGGTTATTTTATTCATTTACTGATTTTAAGATATTTTATACTCCCCCCTTATTACCTAATTCTTAAACTAAAAAATTTTATTCACACATTTCCACCACCTGATCCTCTTAAATTATCTTAACTTTCCAAATTCTATTTAATTATTATTACGTAATCTACCTTATCATTATTCAATTCCATTAATCTCTCTAATTATCACACAATTTATGAACTTCACTAAACTATTACACCACCCAACCTGAATTAACCCCTTTTTTGACCTCTGATCTGTTTCTAGCATATATATATATATATATATATATAGTTACTATTGTAATCCAGTTATGTCAATTGTTTCACACTATCTCCATGTGAAAAAATCCTATCACAATTTTGGTTTGTAAGCAGCTGATGAGAAACCTCGAAATAATATGAATTCACACTATTCTGCATCAATGTTTGTTCTTGCTCTATTTGAATAAATTATTGATTAATATGAAAATATGGCAATTTCTGAATTTAAAACAATGAAAATAGTTAATCTCAGATAATATAACATATATAGGATAATTCTATATCAATTAATCGTTTCAGTGTTGATAAGTCAATTAGTTGGTCATCATCAACATATAACCCTGCTTAGATGTGAGATAGTCCAAGTTGCTATACCATAATAGCATGACAAGCTGGATACAAATAAATAAATAGAGAAAGCGATCGACATAATATGGTAACAATGACAATGAAAAAAGGAAGGTTATCTTCAGGTAGTTATTTTGCAGCATGTAGTGTATATTTTATTTTACAGCTTTGTTATAATAGCTACAACATTTTTATATCGATGTGCCTTATTCGAATATCCACCATGTGAAAGAATTCTTTTACTTTATTCCAAAAATTGATTCTAGACAAAACCAATATTATCGATGCTTATCAATTATGTCCTCGGATTACATATAAATTAATCTTTACTAGTTTAAATTAAATGATACATTAGGGACCGAAGAACCCTCGCTATCCAGAAGATGGGATTAAAACTCTCCAAGTAACTCCAATTAAGCTGAACACCTGTTCCCTAAGAAAAATCAAATATCAAATAAATGAAGTAAGAAATAATATTTTGTGTTGAGATGAATTACAGTAAATAACCTGACCACGCTCATAAACTTTGCTCAAGACGCAAGCCTAGAAGAAGAACTTGCTATTACTACAACTTGCCTACGTAAAAATGCATATCCAAAGAAATTCGTCAAGAAATATGCCAAAACCAACGTACGTGCTAAACACGATATAGTAGAAGTGAAAACCTGATGCGCTGTAAAAGAGATGAAATCACTAGAATAATTAACTACAGGATGAATGACGCGATGAAGGCCGCTTATCCATTAGCAAGACTGAAGACGTTATATGAACCGGACTGCTCACCCAAACAAGCAAAAGTTGAAACTCCCTTCTTTCTTAGTAACTCCAATTGTATTTATAAATTTACATGCACATGCCAAAGTACATACATTGGAAGAGCAGAGAGAAGAGTACAGGTTCGCGTTTCTGATCACGCTCCAAAGAATTTAAGGCTGAGAGGTGCAACGTCTCTAAATAATGCAATAGCACGGAGTTTAACTGATACCGAACATATCATTGAAATTCCACAACCCTTCGAAATTATTAGCAGACAAGAAAACGCAGCATCTCTCCGGTTTGCCGAAGCAGTAGTAATAAGGAAACTTGAACCTGATTTATCTGTCCAGAAAGAGACAATAATCAACTTATCACGACTTTGGTAAATTATTATTTTTTATCATTGTCATTTTTAGTATTTTGCTAGCGTTTATTTTTTCATGTGATCTTCGTCAAACTTATTCTTATTTTATGTACCACAAAATCATCACTTCAACTATCGGTTTTTTCATTCACTTAATTCCGTAAACTTATGTAATCCCGGTTACTTAATTAGTAACCCATCTTATAAAGTTCTTATTCTAGACAATTACTAACTCATAACCAAATGTTTCACATATTTATTTTCAAGTGATATGAATCTTATGTAAACGCTGCACAACCTCTATAAACATCACACACTTCGTCCTATATGTTTCCAGACTTCATGTAATTTCTACCTCAGTCACCTCTTGTTTTTAAATTCTATCTCCAAATGACCTTACATATGTTCTTACACAGATATATGTATATAGTTATTATTGAGAATCTTTGTTATCCCAGTTCTTTCTGTTATCGATGTTAGTTGTTTCACACTACATCGTACCTCAATGTTAGATTTTAGTACCATATACAGTTGGAAGTAGCTGATGAGAAACTATGAAATATTATGAATTCATATTATTCTGCCTCAACTGTTGTTATGGCTTCATTCAAACAATCTGACTCTCCGTTATATTGCAACTCATTTTTGGATAAGTAATGTTTTTTGTTTCTAAAATAGCTTCCTATCATTAGGAAACAGAAAAATTTAATTTATTTGGAGAGAGAAATATAGTTTGAAATAAAATCACTCATGGTCACAGAGAAAATTAGCAAATGCAGTTAGTTTTATGTTCAGTATTTTGTATATATATGTGTTACTTTGTTAGAAGAGAAAATCTGGCATATTGTATAGTTGCTTTGTTTTTCGATATCAGTATGATTGATAGAAAACGTCAATTATTTAATCCCGAGAGTAGCCATTGATTGGCCACATCGTATCGTGAAATATTTTCCATCGGTCGAGATCCCGTTTATTCGTTTCAGTCCTAATGCATAAAAAGATAAATACCAAGGTGTACTGTGTAACATTATAGTGTCGTTTTTGTTCTCAAACTGTCTTCAAACAACATGCCGTTAAGCGCTGAACATAAAAAATATTTGAAATAAACAGGCTATTATTGTTTAGCAAACAAATAATTACCTCGATTATGAATGCAGTAGTTAAACTGAGTATTCCAATGACAACAAATAGCCACCAACTAATCATATAAATGTGAACCCATCTAATTACAAAATAAACAGAAAATAAATTATTTTACATCTCAGCAATCTTTTTTTTAGTATCACTGATCAAATGGATCTTCAATAAGTAAGCCTATGCCCGTTAGCAGTCCATCACAATGAAATATAAGAGATTACAGCTTCGATGTAATAAAGCATTATAAACGTAATAATGGCGAAAAAATATTTTAAAGAGAGTAGTCGAAAACTCTGAAATAAACTCATTGCACTACACAAAATATAGTTCTAAAGAGGAACTACGGCTCTACTGTGTTAGCTGTGTAATGTCCATCATTAGATTATGATGAAGTAGCGAAAGAAAAACAGGTCCATCTCGACAGTTGACGGGTCTGAATGTGATCATGCTAGATTCGAAACAATTTGGGTCAAAGTAAACAGCTGCTTGTAGTAAACACAATGACCTTCTTTAATCATATTTCAACTGAAAGAAAAAAAACCGCTTCCACGATAAAAAATAGAATTTAAGTTTGAAGGAGACTATTATTTGACCAGTAGGATAATATAAATACATTTTGATTATACCCTGAAAACCATTAAATCACAAAGGGTATCAAACTGCCAATATAGCAAAACATAGATAAAATAAGCCTAATAGCCTTCGATGATAATCTTAACAGTTTTGTATTCAATAGTCTCACATTACAATGAAACAAATATTCACTGGTCTTTAGACTTCATGAATTTCTCCAAAACAAAACAAACGACTATTAACCTCTTAGAAAAGAAGAGACATATCTGTCAGAAAAATGTAAAGCATTTTTATTTCACACATTTTTTTTCTTATCATAATGAATAAATTATGACTTTATTGATAGGACATTTAATAATATCAGAAGGGGTTTTGTGAATATTACAGTAATTTTTTTAATAGTTGAGATTATGAGTTAACTGAAGCTAGATCACCATGGAAAACCTGGAAGCACTGAGGAGTTCCACAGTAGGAAGAAACGGCCGCCTAGTGCTTCCAGGTTTACATGGGGCTTTAGATTCAATTGGCTCATGATATCAACTATTAGAACATTTATTCTTAAACACACTTGTTCTCTATTAACACAATAGATAATGTATTGTGTTTAAAGGCTTTTTTCTTCTCATTTTCTTTATAAAATTTAAGATTTAATTAAAAGAGGATATAGGTTAGTTACAGTTATTTTTAAAAGTGCACAAAAAGAATAGTAAAAGGTCACTGATAAAATTAATTGTTTATTTTATTAAAAAAACTTATACTAGATTCATTAGCTAAGAAATAAATATTCTATACTATGTATGGATTGAATAAGACAAACAGAATTAATTAAAATATAAATTAGTAGTAAAATAAATTACCATATTAAGATTAATTAAATATGCATTGAACTGTGTAGTCAAGATAACTTTTATAAGAATTATCTTAATTACTGAACTATTTAGTAACTTATGAGTAGTCTGCTTCATTTGCATTACTTAACAAGATTTTAATATAAGTGATATTTGTCAGAGAATGATTCCAATTGGTGTACCGTTCAGTGCTAGGAAGCTCTGAACAGTTGAAACTTGGAGAACTACTACTACCATCATCAAGAAGGTACAGGTATTTATAAATAGTTGTCTACGCAAGATACTCAACATCCATTAGCCGGATACCATCAGCAACAGAGGACAAACCAGCTTCCAGCTGAAGAGGAAATTACGAAAAGACGATGAAAATGGATCGGACATACATTACACAAATCATCAAACTGCATCACGAGGCAAGCCCTAACGTGTAATCCTAAAAAGAAGCGGAAAAGTGGAAAGCCAAAGAACACATTACGTCGAGAAATAAAAGCAGATGAATAACAACTGGAAACAAGTGGAATGGATTGTCCAGGACAGAGTTGGATGGAGAGCGCTGGTGAGCGGCCTATACTCCTCCACAAAGACTAACGGGGGTAATTAAGTAAGTATAGCACAAACTGACTGACGTCAACAAAGTGCACTGCCGAATCCTAAAAAATAGTAATTCTAACGTTTAAGAATTCACCCAGAGACTGGAATATTTGACCCTTGATGAGGTTATGGTTACGAGCTAACGAAAATTCACAAACCAAAGTGAAGGATCTGTCTATCGCTCCATGTTTTTCAATGGTATCACAACTTAGGTCAATATGTAAAATTGTCACCCGGAAATTAAAATATTTATCGTAAAGCTATTCCATCTAACGGCATCAACACTGAAAAACTACAACTAACTATCATTATAAACGAATGCAAATAGATGAGTTGGTTGATGGTATAATCAAACCAAGTTGAAAATACTTGTAAATTATATAAACATTGTAAACATTAGCGCTAGCAATGGAATCCCGGATGCACTATCCGTCTTATTTGGGACTCCCCACATGGATTTATGTGCCAAAAGAGACTGATCAATTGTAGTCTTCAGCATTAACGGGAAGATTCAAACGACTAGTGAAAATAAACATCATAAACATTTCTGTAAAAACTAATTCAAACTAAAACAAGATGATGAATAACTGATAAAAATTAAAGTTTTTTTAAAGTTACCTGTTCACGGCTTGTTGATATGCGAATACAATTATTTGCCAATTATTGACTACCATTAAATCCCATAAAAGCACAAGGCTGGCCTTAAAGTAATTAAAACAATGATGTGTTTAATGAAACAAAACTAGATAAAACTGCATTTTCTAGTCATTATGTTGAATGAAAATAAGATAAACAAATTTAATAAATATGTAAATTACTTATCAGTGAAATGTTAATTAAAAATTCACAGATTCTCTTCAGTCAGATTACAAACACAGTAATTCAGATTAGGTTTAGCTTTCATTCACTATCATTTTTTTTACTGATATACGTTTCAAAACATGTACAATTAAAAAGAATACATATGAACAGCGACAAAATACTGTATAGTACTATTAAAATAATATCTTACATTTGAAGGTATCTATTATAATATCAGTGATGATAAACCATAGATCTACTTTTCATAATTAGAGAGAAATAATTAACTATCTATTGCCAATAAATATAAAAAAAAACTTCTGAAGTTCTGCCAGAAACTAACGAAATGAATATAATATCTTATTTTACGTATGAACTGGTTTAAATATTGAAATCTTTACTTAAGACATGATGTCAATTCCTTAATAATTCTGTTTTACGATGAATAAACTGTATCTATTTACTGGCCTACATAAGAATTATCTCGCAAAAACAACAATATTAGTGGTTATTTTTTTTATGTATTCACACAAATATAACTCATTTTCTATCAATTAGTAACTGACACACTTTGAAAATAATATTCATAGAACTGATATGGGAATAATTCAAATAATAAATAGATGGAGAAAGAGATAATAGTTATTATACAGCTCATGTGAACAAATTTTTCTATTTTAATAATACTGTAGTGAACAGGACACGGGTGGGGACAATCAAATTATATTTAGCACAAAATTACAGAGTTACTTGGTAAAATAGAAAAACCATGCTATAATACTTGATTTGCGAAATGCTCAATAATTGTCTCGAACTTCATTGTTCTTATATGTGTATGTATATGTATATATAATATATACTATATGTCTATTCATTAGTTCAGTCAGTTAGTAAAATTTACACAATAAATTTCATGGAATGATTTAAAACTCAACACCTAAAAGATGATAAAAAATGAATGGATCTTTGTTATTGCAACCAACGCTAAACCATATCATCAGGTGTCTCAAACTATTATTCTCACTAATTTATGAGAATATGAAGCTGTAATCAGTGCTTAAAAATATAGTTTATGGACTAATGTCATGTTTCTGGTTTGGTAACCGCCAAATTTCTTTCAACATACTCTCAAGCCAACGATCATCGTGAGTCAATTTAAGCGGTGCTTAAGTATCAGTTATCATCATTTATAGTAAACAGTTTTAAATTCTAAAAAAACTGTCATGAATATCAGGAAAATTAAAATTGCTCTGAATTTCTCATCTTATTCAACCGGTAGTAAAAAGGTAATTTTTATGGTGCACATTTTCGAAAAAAAATACTTGAAAAGAATTAAAATACGTCACTAGTGATTTATTATCATTTATTCTTTGAATAAAATACTAATCAGTTCTTTTAAAACATTGCTTTTTATTAAACATACATGTAAACGATGGATGGTAGCTAGCAGTGGAATCCAGAATGCGCGTTTTATTGTACTTGAGACTCGTCGGCTGGACGTACCTGCATCTCAGAGTGGATGTTCTCTCTGGGACTCGAATCTAGTGTCGTTCGCTCCAAACGCCATTGCGTTATCCAGTTAGTTACTGAGTCCTGATAGCCACTTGCTTGTGCAATGGGATGAAGTTTAAATTTAATTGGTATTTTTTACTTGAATCAAGACTCAGTAGCTAGGTGGATAATGTGATGGCGTTTGAAGCGAAAGGTGCTGGGTTCGAGTCCCAGATTTAACGTCAACTCTGGGGTGCAAGATGCAGGTACGTCCAGCTGATGAGTCCCAAATACAATAAAACGCATTTTCTGGATTCCGCTGCTAGCCATAATCCATATTTGTTTATAATGCTTCTTATTGAATGTAATATCTAGGCGATCCTCACAAGATACACATATGCCAATAAGAGACTGATTAATTGCAGTCCTAAACATCAACGGACAGATTCAGGTAAGCAACACCAAGTGAATTTATAGATGTAAAAAGTTTAAAGAGAAATAAATATATCGTGTGCCAACAAAGCATGTCAAAAGTTTAAAGATTTCCCTGCATTCTTATAGATTAGATTTGAATGATAGAAATTATTTTGATGATTTTTTCATTTCACCGTAATGTTCAATTTTACTTGGAAATTCTACAAACGTTTTCAATCAAACTGTAACAAAACACTAGACTTATAAGCAAAGATGGATAGTGGTTAGCAGTGGAATCCAGGACACGCGTTTCGTCCTGTTTGGGACTCGTCAGCTGGATGTACCTGCATCTCAGAGTTGATGTTCACTCTGGGACTCGAACTCAGTACCATTCGCTTCAAACGCCATCGCGTTATCCACTTAGCTACTGAGTCCTTCAACCCATTGCACAAGCAAGTGGCTATCAGGACTCAGTAGCTAAGTGGATAACGCGATGGCGTTTGGAGCGAACGACACTAGATTCGAGTCCCAGAGAGAACATCCACTCTGAGATGCAGGTACGTCCAGCCGACGAGTCCCAAATAGGACGAGACGCGCGTCCTGGATTCCACTGCTCGCCACTATCCATCTTTGCTTGTAATACTTGTAAATTAAGGAAATATCAAGGCAATACGCACAGTATGCACATATGCCAATAAGAGACTGATCAATTTCAGTCCAAAAACATCAATGGGAAGATTCAAGTAAAACAATATCAAGTGAATTAAAACACTAGACGTTTTCATTTTTTTAGGACTTATTTTCTTCATGAAAAAAAGTAGAATGGAAGCAAAAATTATGAGAAGTATTTGCATTGAATTAGTTTCATTACCAATTTTATACATTATTGTTTAACACAAAGCTTCAGATTAACTGACATCCAAAAACGTGTATATGAAAAAATGGGTAGAAGGTATTTATCTACCTATCTATCTTCGAATAAATATGTACATATATATGTACTGATGCTTGTACAAAAATTAACATTTCTCAGAAACAAGATGAATTCACCGAAAGGTAGACTTTAATTACATACTTTGTGCATTTCATAGACTAAAGATGTTATTTTTATTCATTAAATGATAGCTATTTTATTTAAAAGTGGTTTTTATTAAAACATTATATCAGTCAAAGAATAGGAATAGAGAAATGTTTTCATGGTAGTGAGAGAGTCTTCAGTGAACTCACATACAACTCACGGAGCATGGAGACTTAAACCAACAGGTTAAATAGTAAACACAAGCAGTTTAATTCAGTGAATGTATTCTCATTTTCTACAAATCCCCAATAAGCATCATAATTCCATGGAATTAGTCTTAAACTAATAAAGTAAACTAAATCATTCTAATACCATATGTATAAATGTATGCAGGCAGAAAATCGTAACAATAAAGACTGAAATAGTCCGGATGATTTTGAGTAAAAGGAAACTAAAAATAAATTCTAAAGTTACTTACAGCAAAATCATTAAAATGTATAGACCAGTATTGCAACTCCTGGTAAGTCCCACATTGATAGGTTTCTCTAACATGAAGTTAATAGAAAAATGTGTTGTCAGTGTGTTGCTTAATAGTTTATTTTTTTCAAGCACATTAAAAAAAAGAGTTTATAATATTTCTGACATCAATAGTTACAAAAACCATTATTTGACTAGGAAAGAAGCAGTACAGTACTGAAAACTGTCTTCAACAGCTTATTAATTCATAATCACAAGTCAGCTGACCCCAGTTCATGATGAAAAACAATTTTAAAAGCATAGAAATCCCGTATCTAAAGTAATTTTTTACATACACCATATTATTCACATTATATTTCTTTCAGTTTATGCATATATATTCGAAGTAAAACCAAACTTTCATTAATACTTGTTACAGTCCCATATGGTTTCTCGTTCATTCATTTGAATATGCTATATATATTAGGTGAAGTAGTATCTAACTAAATCCCATGCATAATACTGTTGAAATTCTGCAAAAAATCATAAAAACCACTAGATGATTCTCAGTTCATTAATAGTATTTCAAAAAAAGATCTTCAATCAAATTGTTTCAAGTTCATGTGAATTGAATACCTTTAAAACAAAGTTAAGAGTTACAACAATAAAATGACCTATAGATGTAGTGTTATTTCTTTGACGTTTACCTATCCTATCTATTTTCATAGATATATGACAAACAATTTAGAAAACAAAGATTAAATTTCATTTGTTACTACCGTATTGCTAAATAAACATAATAGTATTTTTTTAGATCAAAATGTATTATTTCATATTTCATATTATCGGTAAACATTCATTAATGTATGTAGACATATCTTAGACATAATGATTTATGACTGTTTTATTGTTATTGACTAATACGAAGGATCAAAAGAAATACTTTTTATATAATGTTTATCATTTTTTATGCGTAAGCACTTGACTTTTAATATTTTCTATTGTTATCTACAATATTATGAATGAACTGAAATGTAATAGTTTGAGTCGATTTTTAAGGTGAGACTATTGTCAATTTTACATATATATATGTAAAGATTGGATTTTTACTTACTGGGACAAATTACATTTTTTAAATATTATACCTTGTTAAATATTACATTGCTTGGTAGAATAGGAATAATTATCATCATAAAATCTTATTACAGTAGATATATTATTTGAAAGTATGAAGTAGATGAAAGTATGCAGAAAGTCACTCAAATTCGCGTATGAAATTCAAGACGTAGAAAACTTACATTAAAATTATGTTTACAATAGTGACTATCACTTGTATATATATAAACTGAATCCAAACGTTTTACTGTAACATGTACCCTGATAAGGTTTTCTTTTGATGACACATATGGTGGATAAGATATTATCAAGGTTTAAAAAAAATTGATTTGGTCTTTTGTTTGGTAAAACAGCGCTTACAGGTTAGTTGTATGATTAGAAGAATTTTGTCTGGAAGGATATTCACAATGAAGTTAAGAAATTTGTCACGAACCTAACTGACCGCCTTTCAGGTCATATACAACAAAGCAGTCATGGAAATGTCTAGTAAATAAGTCGTCTAGTGTCAAGCGTCATATCATCAGATACTCAACTGTTTAAATTAACATTAAAGGAAAACAAAAGAATTACGAATTGCATGGAGATAAGTAATGAATGACTGTAATTACGAATTTCATGTAAATTTGAAATGCTTCTCAAAAGTCAATGTTTTATGGTATAGAAAATAGTCTGGAGGATAGAAAATACATAGATTGGTTATTCATTCTTTAATTGATCAATTTGAGTTTCCAATATGAGATTTAATACTCATGCTATACTGAAGTTTTATATTCCATTTGAATCAAAATCATACAACCTTTGTGACCACTAGTCAAACTCTCTGGGTTTCTATTTGTTAGTTTCGGAAGTAAGAGATTCTGTGACTCATTAAATGACTAGAAACACAGGAACGAAGTTGGGCGGTTTGTTGTAAATAAAATAAAAGATATAACAAAAGAGAAAACACAAGTATTCAAAATAAAAAAGCACTTGAAGTATACTTTACTATTGTCAAACTCACGGATTTGATGAATTTGTGGAATTGTGATATTTAATAACATCATGGAATAAATTCATACCCAATAATGCATAAAAGTAAAATGCTGATATGAGTATTCCAAGAACAGGGGTTAGATTACTTGGCAGATCAGCTAAAACACTGACAACTAATCGTGTCCAAGGAAACAGAACAATTAGTCTAGTAGTACGTGTTAATAAGAGGATATTACTTAAACGAACAATGTTCCAGATTGTCATTCTAAATTGTGAAATATGTTGCATTCTTGATTTGGGAAAAAATAAAACAAACAAATCAGAAATGAAAACAAAACTATTCAATTCGAAGAATAAAATATTTTAAAACTAAATTTACAGATTTACGAATAATAAAAATGTTCTTTCATAAAACTTATTATTTTCCAAATATTTTGTTGAAACTTCTGTGATATAAATGGCTAAAATATATCATAAAAACTTGGATATAAGTACGCCCTGATTAGGAGTACCAAACAGGACGAAATGCACGTCTTGGATCCCCCTGTTAGCCACTATCTAACTTTATCTAAACACTGCATTAATACAGTTGCACGTAACAGACTGCTGTATTATTTCTTTTACCATACTATCCTCATTCGAAAAAGATGAAAATCATTATATACTGTCACATAGAAGTTAACTATTACTTCATGCAGATGATAAATGAGTACGAATTATCTGTTATTCACCAACAGTATACGTTTATAAATTTAGGAAATTAAAAGAATAGTGGATGGAAAATAGGCCCTTTTTCCAATCTAGACTAGTCACTTTCATTCTAAATTGTAAGTATGTTTTGTTTACTCCAATAAGAGAGACTATGGTATAAAATTGAGAAAATTAAGTCGAATAATCTGTCGCCATCAAATAAGTCAATTTATATTAGTAACTATAATGAAACTTTAACTTGTAGTTGTCTGGTTACTTTTATTTCATCATTCATAAGTAACATGAAACTACTTTTACAAAAAGTATTACACTATAATAAATAGCACATTTGAAATGGCAGCTTTCATTTTATTATTTAAGTACATAACCATATATTTGGGAAAGGACATTAAAACAAACAAACGATTACATAGGATAAGATCTCACAGCAACAACAAAAAAAAAGAAAATTCACTCCACTAATAACTTCAACGTTTAATGTTGCATACTATCTTAACATATTTCATACGAAAAACAGAAAGTGTTTAAAAATATTCTGAGTAATGGTAGTAATTGTTGTTTTATAATCCTTAGAATAACTTAATTGAATAAATGTATGAGTTTAATAAATAAAACTATATTTGATAGAATATATTTACTGAGAAATTACTCTAAGGTTTATAATTATCAGACTTAAATATTCAAAGATATTAATGAATCATATTTCATAAGTTCATTGGGTGAGACTATAATTTATGGACGACCTTTGAGCGACACTAGATTAACCTTGAGAGTGTCAACCTACATACTAGGGCCAAATGAGGGTTATAACGCAGTTTTAAGAATAAGGATTATGATTTACAGTTGACGGATAAGGTAAGGAATTAGATTTAGGGTTTTCATCACGAACTGATATCAACTATAATGCCAAAACTCTATGTAGCCAAATGGGTGAATGAATTTCGCGCCAAAATCTAAGACCTGTTTTCGTAAATCTGATTGGTTCGTCCACAAATTATAGTCTCGGTGTTCATTGTTATACGTAGATATATTTAAAAAATAAATAAACTTACTGATGGCTCATAAGTAACAGGGTTAATTCAATTAATTTAACAACCTAAAAAGAATGAATACATGTAAATTATGTTAAATAAAATAACAATATTCTTAATTATTAAATGTATTTAACTCAAAAAAATGTCTTAAATATTTTTGTTTTATCATTTAGACAATTACCCAAAAAATCGACGTTCTTAAAATAAATTTCAATAAAGGCAACAATTTAACAACAAACTGTTGTGTATTTCATTCAGACTAATATCCTTATAAACATCATTATTAGTATTCGTGTTTTATTCGATCATAAATTATAATTTAAAGTAAACGGGATAAACCGACTGAGAAATAACCAAGAGAAATTGGTTTAATACAGAGTTCATTTATTGATGAGTTTATTCTCAATACTGTTCAATCAAAAATACATACTTACTTTTCAAAATGATAATTAATAATCTCGGTTAATCATCATCATCATAATAATAATAACAATGATGATTACAATAGCAATAATTTCTTCAATATAGTAAAAGAGATAAAATAAATCAAAACACAAAAATGCTATTTTCATTAAGAAATCGAAAATGTAGTTGTTAATATCCTGATTATTCATCAAGTAGATAGATAAAGATTAGTTATTGGGATGAAGGGCTGTATAACGTAATAAGATGTTAAAGTTGTGATGACAGTAGTCAGAAAGGACATATGAACAGAAATAATTCGGTAATGGCTTTAGGAAACGAGATTATGATCAAAGTAGGAGAAACAGTTGAATACTTTTATTTTATTTTTATAGTTCTGGTCGTTCTAGACTTACGATCAGTGTTTTCGTAACTAATTGTTTAAATAGCAAACAGTATTCGTTGCAAAAAATTGTACAGCGAAAGCACAATATGTTGTATTATTACGTATAATGTGATCACAGATATCACATATGAAACAGTATAATTGTGAATAGTCATTTTAATAACAATATAAATATTTACTAGTAATAGCATTAGTAGAATAAGAAACGTATGCTCATTATTGGAACTTCGCAGAATTCTGAACAGTACATTCCACTTAAATATATTAGTTTACCTATTTTGAAAATTCTCATAGAATACCGTGACACAATGTCTAATGTAACACGGTATTATTTGTGTTTAGAATCTATAGACAGTTTAGGTTGCTGAAATATATTTCTTTGAGAATTTTCAGTCAAATAATTTCTTTTGCGATTAGAGCAGTAGTTTTTACTAAAACAGGGATATAGAATTCAATTAGCACCAGCAAATAAACGAAATGATATTATTTTCGACTAAATGATAAACTAGTATAATCATTGCAATCATAAATAGAGATCTCTTACAGTTATGATAACTCACAAGTATATGCTACATTATATAGATCGAGTTCATATCTTCTCACATAGTGCATCATTTACATCAGTGTAATAGACAGGGCTCAGTAAAGTGTTGTAACTAGTATGAAACCTAGATCTTAGGCTGTGTTATTCAGTGACTTTAAAAAACGGTTGATTACACTGATACAAATAAGGTTTACAATAAAATCTTAACTAAATGATGGTCTCTACTAATAATTGATGATTTAGTTTATTTATATATATTACACAGTTTATCACCATTTATTAATCAGTATAGGGGTTGTGGAGATTGTTAAGTTTCTGATTTAGATCATGAACCGATTGATGTCAGACCACCGTTGGCAACCTAGAAGCACTAGACGACCGTTCCGTCCTATTATGGGACTTCTCAGCAGTGCGCATCCACGATCCGGCTCGCGGGATTTGAACCCAGGGCTTTCAGTCTTGCGCGTGATTGCTTAACCAACTGGATCTCTGAGCCGGCATCCAATTGTGTTAATGTCTAACATCAACCAATTCACGAAATTGCGCGACCATCTTTCATTGTACTGAGGTAGATATCTGTCTCTACCTGACGTATGATGTTTTTTTTCTTGTAAATACATGAGTTAAATAATAAAACTACAATAAAAATTCTAATAACTTACAAATATTATAGCTACTATAAATAATCCAAATATATTAGATTTTTTTGAAAAAAATGCTTTTTGACCATATGCCCACAGAAAAGAAATTTGTTCAAATACATAAAATATTGTGAAACCCCAACTTATTATCTAGAAATTCAATAGAATCATATTTTAAAATTACGAAAAATTGTTATTGAACATTATGATAATTCAATCTTATTTTATCGATAAATAACAATAACATTTTATTAAGATCACTAGGTTTAGTCTGTTATTCTGTATCACATTTTAATCAATCACAATATATATAGTAGTTGAGTTAAATGCACAGAATATTTTTGAGTAGTAAATACTTTAGTGTTTTGATGAAAGAAATATTTTGGTGTGATAAGTACCGATAACTGAACACTATATTCGGTTCCTAAGCTATTCTCGTAACTTTCAAGCTAGAATTACACAACGACCTGAACATGAAAGAAAAAACTCAAAATATGCGAGAAGCACTTTACTCCAAAGGTTCGTTTTAGCACAGAAAATACAAAGTCTCCATAGTATTTTAGATGTTCTTAGGTTTCCCGAAAATTCCGGAATACTAATAAACATAGTAGCAGTACGGTGATCAGTCAGTCAGAAACTCTACATATGACTTTTCCCTTTCTTGATGTTTCTCGGCTAAACTTCTAGTGAACTCTGATGGGACAAAATGCTTCTTAGTGTTTTCTGAGCCTTTCTTGTCTTTTGTGAGAAGTTTTCTGGATCACTACAACAGGTGATAATTTGCTTTTTTTTAATTGGGTTGCATTTCAACAATTACTTCAATTTTGATTATATATTTTACACTGAAGGGATAGTTTTGATTTACACAAACTGATCACTTAGTAATCACTGTCCTGCATGTCTAATCCTTTGTGTTGCTCAAATTCTTGCTGTCAAATTCCAGTGTTTTCAATAGTCTAAGTGATACGATGACTCATGCATTATGACTGAACATTGGCGGTTAGAAATAGTAGAAAAAACACTCAGTAGAAGCACCTCAGACGGTGAAGCTCCATGAATCGGTTAAGATAGATTTCCATATTAAAGGATATTTTCTAAACCATTTACATTGGAACACATGATTGTTCAGCACCATTCATTTATTTATAACTTCCAATAAATCTATAACATTTTTTTAAGTATATGGTATGTACTAGGACTGAAAAAATTACATAAATGATAGTAATCTAATCTATTTATCACTACATAAATGAAAATTCAGAGAGAGTTATAAATTCCGTAAAAATAATTTAAATGGTAGAACTTAGACCCAATCTTTATATTATATTCTGGGAAACCATCAAAGGAAAATACTACAAATTTTGTAGACTGATCGCTTTCCATCACTAGTATTTAGCTGACGAATCCCAAATAGGACGAAACGCGCGTTCAGGATCCCACTGCTAGCCATCATCCGTCCCTGCTTATATATATGTTTAATTCTGTAGATGTCGAAATACTAATATTGCCATTTGTTATAACTTAAGAAATAACAGGGCCACTGTGTAACAGAACAAAAATTGGGTGCTCTATGCAAAGAAGTAAAGTAAAACTACAGATGAAGATTATATTACTCATAGAACATAAGTTCTTCACTGATTAAAGTGTGATGAAAATCGCAGTTAGGTAAATGTTTAACTGATAACGTAAAACAACTTTCTGATTAATTTCATTGAAGCATTTAATCTACCGATAAGAAAATGTTTTACTTGTAGACTGTAATCGAACATAATATTAATCTTTTGGGAGATATGGTTAAGTGTATTTTTATGTTTATGATCATTGACAACATTTTTAGTGATTGTGAATTTTAACTAATATAAGCACACCTTTATGGGTAAATACTTAGAAATGAATGAAAATAAGGAAGCATTATTAATAATGTAAACCTTAAGAATGTCTAATAAAACCAGTATACATAACCCCATGACAAAAATAATGTTCATTAATCTGTTGTTGTTCCACTACTTATTCTTAATATTATAGAAATTTTTAACAAGTCATGAGGATTTAAAATTAACCTTTAATCCTAACGTACAGAGCTTAATATTTTAACGAACAATGAATGCTGTTTTGAAGGTCATTTCATATTAATCATAATAACTTTCACCTTGTTGGTGAAATATGAAAGCAATGGACTTAAACGGACAGTTTTATTTCAAATTAAATTTTGTGGGAAATCTGTCAAGAAATAGTGAATTTTATGTTTAACGTAAATACTGAAATACTAATCGACTGTCTTTTAATATACAACACTAAAAGAGCTTCACTGTTGTCGATCATTTACCAATCATAATCAGACTCTCCCTATTATTAAGATAATATTTTTAATTACTTGAATTATGTCATCACACACAAAAACAAATTTAACAAGTATCTAATTGGACAGTATAGGACAAATGAAAATTAGGAGATAATGTTAGAATGTTAATCTTACACGCATTATAACTCCAGGATACTTTCCAGTTGAAAGACTGTAAGATATATCCACCTAAAATATAGTTGAAACTGAATGTAATTTATCAAAATTATCAATTACAAATTATCAAAGGTTGTAAAAAAAGAACAAATACGAAACACTATGATGCTTAGTGTGTAGCATCAATACAAGCCCCCGAATGCCCTGGTACGGCCGAGAGTGGGGAGAGACCACTCTCCCTCTCCAAATGCTCTCACATGGCCACGCGTGTATAGCCGATGCCAGGGAAGTCCTGCTCATCGCCTTCTCGTGGCGAGGGTGTCGCATACGAAATTGAAAGGACAAAAAGCGAATGTCCGGCGCTTTAACCGGGTTGGTGGACACGAAGAGTCCACCTAGGGGACTTGGAATACCCTGACCCCAAACCAATGGTGCACATGGGCTCCATTACTTGAGGGAACAAATGGCATATGAACCAATTGTTGGTCACCGGGTACCATGGGACTGCATCTCCTCACGATGCTCCACTGTCTCGTGTATCAGACCTTCAGGTCGAAGGCTCCGGATGTGGCCCCCTAAGAAAACCATCTGCTTCGGTTTGGGCGCCCGATCAATATCGCAGCCCTCACACATATCAAATGAGATTTGTGTGGCGCATATGTATTTGGTACCTACTTGTACCAATATCTTTGTGTTAATATAAAATAAATAATGATCAATACAAGGAGGTATCAATCGCCAAAGAAGGAATATTAGATTAATATGGAATTTTGAAAAGAGCAAGAACAAACATTCTAGCAGAATAGCATGAATTCATTTTTATTTCGTTGGTTCTCGTCAGCTGCTTACAAATGATTGGTAATTCTACTTATAATGATCTAAAACCACGTGGGTCACGTCTGCCTCATATGTATGGTTTACCAAAAGTTCACAAGCACGACGTTCCCCTTAGACCTATCCTATCAATGATAAACTCACCGTATCACAAAGTTGCACGCTGGCTAGCAGAAAAACTAGAACCGGTTCGTCGAAGATTAGCAACATATACGTTGAAAGATTCATTCCAGTTTGCTGATAGACTAAATCGTACGAATGTTGCCGATAAGTTCATGGTTTCTTTTGATGTAACATCCTTGTTCACCAATATACCACTTTTTGAAACTATTGATATAATTTGTCAGAATTATGATCTCCTACCTTTACCAGCCCCGGAATTCAAAAAACTACTATTAATGTGCACAACAGACGTTCAATTTCAGTTTAATAACACCATATATCGTCAGATCGACGGCGTAGCAATGAGAAGCCCACTAGGTCCAATTCTGGCAGATATTTTTATGGGGTATCTTGAAAACATGGTGCTTAAACAGACGATTAGCGAAACGACGGAATATTCCAGATATGTTGATGACACGTTTATTGTCTGTAACAATAAACAGCATGCAATCCACATGCTAAAACACTTCAATAACGCTCATCCTAACATACAATTTACTATGGAACACGAACAGAATGACATGTTCCACTTTCTTGATGTTGCTATAAAACGTAGGAGAGACGGGACAGTCCAACGTTCGATTTATCGAAAAAGTACTTGGAATGGCATTTACCTGAATTTCAATAGCTTTTGTCCACTCAGTTACAAGAAGGCATTAGTTAAAACACTATTTCATAGGGCAGAAAAGTTATGTACCACTGACAAACTCGAAGAAGAATTGATGAAAGTAGAAAAATGCCTGCGAGACAACTTTTACCCACAAAAGTTTATTGACAAGTATAAGAAGCGTAAAGAAAACAATACCGAAGTAATTACTGTCAATAAAAAACCAATAACTATAAGTCTTAACTTCAAAGGTGATGAGGTTGCAAACACAATCAACAGGAGACTGAATACTGCGCTAGCCAGAACTTATACGGCGGTCAAACTTCAAATTCTGTATAAAACAACATGCTCAATAACTCAATCAAAAGTTGATAAGCATCCTTTTCATGTTACCGCCAATTGTATTTATAAATTTACGTGTACCTGCCAAAGCAGCTACATTGGCCGAACAGAAAGGAGGGCATATCTCAGATTTTTTGAACATGTCCCAAAAAGGCTCAGAACAAGAGAAAGAAAGACTCTAAATAGTGCAATCACCAAACATCTTCTTGATACAGGACATCAGGTCGATACCCTACAATCATTCAAGGTGATTAGTAAGCAGCCAAACTCCAGTCTTCTGAAGTTTGCTGAAGCAGTTGCTATCAGGCGCCAAAAGCCTGATTTATGTGTTCAAAAGGAGATGGTTATTAATCTTTCCTTGCCTTGGTGATTAATATTCCTTCGTTATATCTTAATAATTTTTTTTCTTTTTCTTTAAACTCTTTCTTGCATTTATTACACCATTGAGTTTTATTCCAACTATCTTATTTTATTTTATCAACTGAACTCTACTCATTTTATTCCTATCAAGGTTTATTTGTTTCTAACCGTTTGAACTGTTGTCACAATGTTCTTTCATCACATAAGGTATATATTTACAATATTCGGTCTATTAAATTTATTTACACCCTTGTTATACTATATGAATATGTCTTTAATATAACTTCCAATCAAACTCTTTTATGTAAGTAATTTTAACCCATTAATTATGATTTTAAATATCACAGGTTGTAAGCAGCTGAATGTTTGTTCTTGCTCTTTTCAAAATGATAAAGGGAACTATGTGTATGTAATATGGAATTAATTGTTAATATCACATGGTTTAATTTAAGTTGATTGATAACTAATAGTTGGTAATTGAAATGATTTAATCGACCAATTCAAGAATTATTGAAACAATTTTAATGGATTGACAAATTTATTTTAACTGAAGGTCTGTGATAAAATCTTACCAAATTACATATAAATCATGACTATTCACTTGATTTGCACACAGAGTGCATCATATAAACAAACTGTGAATCAATTTTATTCAAGGCCATTCTCACAAATGTTAATTATTAAGGGCTAAATAACTTAATATTGAATAACAATGAAAAATATACGTATTTTAGACAAATGGAGATGTTATTAAAAAGAAATAAAGGTAATTAGAACACATGATAAACAGATTTTGTTGTTTTGGGACAATAAATCAAACTTTAAAAAGTTGTTTTAACAATGAACGAAAATAATGGAAGAAAGAATTTAGACTAACCATCGGATAACCAATTGATAGAAAACCCATAGGAATATAAAGTCTTAATTTGTCTGAAATACTCAAAAAAATTAATGTTGATATCACTACTTAGATTAGACTTTTAATGCTCAGACATCTAGAAAGGAAACTGGAATTAGCTGTAAAATTCAACTTGATTTTTATATAGTTTTCGTTACAGACTACAAACTTTAGCAGGTCATTGTATGTCAAAGGGCATTGAAGAGCTGTTTTGTTCGATTTTCATCAACAAAGTCTTAATATTATTTCTGTCGAAATTGTAAATGTAATAATTTAAGGAAAAGGTAGTGAATATACAGTCATTGTTTTCAAACTGAGACGCAGGTCAGTGTAAGTTAAGTTCACGTGTAAAAACAATCTGTATTCATGAAAACATAACAAATTTCTGAATCGTCTTAGGATGACACTCTTAAAGTTTTTAAAATTGCAGAAGTTGAAAACACTCTGGCCAATAATATGAATAAGTCTCATGAAAAGTAAAATCTTTTCAAATTGATCCTAGATAATAAATACAATTTTGAACCGCCTAAATATTCTCAAATTCGAAGTCACTTATAAAAAATTCATAGTTTTTATACTATAATGTGATCCTCAACAATATAGAAAACTAGTATTTCCGTATTTCGTTCTGGAAAATAGTTCAAAGACTTCAACGCTTTTATTTTAGTAGTCATTACTGAACATCACTGGTTACGTCATTTACTAGCATACTTTCAAAATGGTGAATACTGACAGTACCTTGTCTTAAGTCTATACTAGAAATATCTCAATACAAAGTAGTAATTTATGATATATCCTAAGACGGAAAGTCTTTTGAAAGTAAAAGTAATCCAGTTAACGTGTGATGGCTATCTAATAGACAATGTAAACGACACAGCATCGGAAGACAAATGAAATAACGAAATAAATAGTAATAAGTTACATCAACTGAAACAACGACAGCAATGGATGAATAGGATTTTCTGTTTACTTGCACATACCCAGACAGTCACTGGTAACAAAAAAGCAGGATACGTTTTCCGTTGTATTAGTAAATAAGGCTACTTGCAGACACATATGGTTAGAAACATTTTCAAGTTCTGAACTGAGGAAATCTCATGACCATCTTTGAGGAACCAATATTCAAATTATTCTGCAATCAGTTAATATATCGATATAGATCTAATTTACAAGTTTGTAAGTAAAACTAGGGCCAATTAGATGGTTATAAGCTACGAAGGCTGCCAATGGGAACACAAGAACATAATCAGATACAAAAATTCGTAGAGACAAGATCACCGGAACAGATCGAATTGATATTTGTTGAACAATCTAAGAGCTCACTTCTATTTGAAGTTGGCACCGGCAACGTTCTTTAGGAGGAGAATAGAGGCCTTGTAATCGGATTATTCTCTTTGAAACACTAAACATTACTAGAATACATTCTTATTCTAGTTTTTGGTCACTGTTTTCTGACTGGAAATTATATTGTTTATTTCAATAAAATTATTCCACGAATTCGATACCTTATTCCGTGATGACATGCATTTACTTGCGAAAAAGGTTCTCACTAACTCAGAGTACAACTATTTTACTTAAATAGTATAAATACGTTAAAAGCTGTACAACAAAATCTTTATTTACAATCCAGTTAATAAAATTCCGGTCAATATATTTGTTATTCCATATGTAGATAGCAAGAAAATCTATAACAATATGTCTATACGTAATGTAATGATATCACTAGCAAATTTTTCATGAACTTACTAATAAATTCATCTCGAAAATAGAGACAGTAGTGGATTTATTATAAGGGTATTTGATTATTTGCTATTTATTTACTAGATATTTTTTGGTTCAGTTATACGATATACATTCGGAGCTTGTATTTTTAACAGACATTGGTAACCAGTCATTTATTGGTTGATAACGCTACAAAAATAAAATCACGATGTTTTGTAAGCGGCATTAGCCATAGAGCCTGTGCACTTGTAGGTGTTGCATAAAAGTCAAATTCTAATGAATGGACCATGATCGTGCTCTCCACCCCCCCCAAAGACATTAAAATCATCCCAATTAAACCAACCAAGGCAAAAAAATTGAACATAAAAATATGATTCGTGGATGAATGAAATGCACGCAGAGGAAATTTACGTATAAATAAATTTCAACATACTACTCAGAAATATTTCTCATGAATCAACTATGTTCTGAATGAGTAAAAAATTATTAATTGATATTTAACACTTGTTAACTTACACATAAAAATACTACATTGAAAACTGATATTATAATTCGAACCAGCTCAAATCCTTTTGACATAATCCATGTTTGAAATATACGAGCCACTCTAAGAGATGGTATTTGTTCAGGTATTGACTGAATAAAATACAAAACTAACGTTAAAAAGAAATTGTAAATACTCTACTTGACTAGCTTTTTAGCTAATTTGATTTAAGAAACAACTAGGTTTGTTGATTAACTCAATTTAAACAGTATGTTTTTTTCATCAAATTTTGATGTTACATTGTTAGGACAGAATGTAAATAAATTCCAAAGAATGTTAATATTTCAATCAAAATTTACAGCATTTTAAAAAAGAGGAACGTTTGTGAAATACATATGCATTTTGTGTAAACATTATGACTGTATTTTTAAATCTGTAGTTTCTTAATTATAACCTTATGGCAACAGGAAAAATATGTTATTTATGTAATCATAGTTTAAATGATTTAATGAAGTGGTGAATGTAGTTAAATGAATATACAACTATTTGTTGGACACTTCTTGTACCATTTAACAATGAAGTGAAAATAACACCTATGCAGTAACGTACCCATTAGTGTTTGTTATTAATTGAGATTTGGTAACGAAATAATAGTTTAGAGTACGCCAAAAAAACTTCCATTTGATTACATCATCCACAGTACATTTATATGATGATCACATGCCGAAATTTTTAACTGACATTGAAATCATAATATTATCAAATCAGTTTTCAGAGTCTTAATTTGCTACCAACCATGTTGGTTGAGAGAAACCAACTAGTTGTTCACATAATTTACTGGTAGTAATCGTTTCAGATAAACACTGTTTGGAGATTGAGTGGAAAATAGTGATAACTAAACAACTAAATATTCCTGAAAGGATTCAAATAACGGAATTCTGAACGGCGAATTTATTATCAAACTGCTCAATCCTGCATGTATATACATGGGATTTGAAGAGCATGTTCCGCGATGAAGTATAACCAACGAATGAATATGATCAGGTTATTATTTCATTGACTTTTTCATAATCTAATTTTAACCTAGAATTTAACACATATTCTTTTTATTTGCACACAGTGAAGAAGTTAAACAGCTGTGTTCTATCATCGTTCATGCTATATAACCTAGTATTTTGATTTTAATCGCTGAAAATTTCCCATTATATTAAAACACAATTGTACGTATGTATGTATTTTGGTTTTTCTGCGGTAAAATCCTATATATATGATTGTATAACTTGAAAAAGTATCCGATGGTTGATTTTCGTGTACAATCTATTAATAAGAAATATAAAGAAACATTTCTCTTGTAGGCAATAGTTGAATTCATCATACCTGATTTGATGGACCCGATAAATCCAATATTTTAAATAATTGCATAAATTGTTTTGCATTAATATTTCCATGACAATGTCTCATGAAATATACCTTGTAAGAAAAAAAAATTAAATCGTAATCAAGTGGAAACTAAATATTTATCTATCAGTTTACAGAATGTTCCTATTAATAGTATGCACATCGATAAATGTACTACCCAAAATGTTGATGAATAGAAGTATTAGAATTTCATATCACAATTCATTTTATACTTCAGACTTGTGAATTAATATGCTGGATACATTGAAAAGTACATTATTACGTTTTCAAATCACCATCACACTTTTCACATAAACACTTTAAGTATGGAAGGTAACAAGTACAGTTTCATGAATTTGGCTTTTAACCATATTTTATGCATAGGAGTTGCTTATACTCTTCGACTGCTTAAACGGAAGTAGGTAAATTTGGACTCGCAAAAGTGACCTAAATGTGTGAAGTTGAATGCTTTAACAGCTAAGCCGTGGTTCCATCGTTTTAATGAAGGTACTTTGCATGTTATTGAATGATAAATTTGTCTAATATTTACAAAAGGTCATTCACCTATTTAAGCAAATGCATAAAAACATCTTTAAATTTTACTGAAATTTCGACCACCAACTGGTTAGTTGTAACTGTTCACCCAACAACAATCAAATCATCTACTAGAGCTACAGATCTTTGTCATTAATTCAATTAATAAACATTTAGATTTCATAATTGTTTATATTAAAATATATCAATTTTTCACAGTTTACATTCTTGTTCATTTGAATGTAGTGGTATGGAAGATGAAAAAACTTTACAGAACAATTTAAGATCTCTATGGTGAAGTTATTTTATTAACCAATTACTAGAATAAATATATAAATCATTTATTCAATATAGGAAAGCCATAAATTTCGTTATATTTTATTTAAGAATAAGTGGAATATATTTTGTATCTAGATGGTGGTTGGAGGTAGTTAACAGGAGACCCTGGACCTGGGTTTTGTGCTACTTAACACTCGTCAGCAAGATGTACTTGTAATCTTGAGGGAACTGGTACTTCTTGACGGATTCGATCCCATGCCACTCAGCTCCACAGTCAGAGACGTTACCAATGAGCCGCGACCGGCCTCCTGTAGGACTGAGATGTAATCACAATTGATTGATCACTGGGTGGTGATCAATGTCATGTATGTCAAGTCCTTCTTAGTGTAGATCAAATGCTATCGACCAAGTAGCACGAAACCCGGGTCCAGGGTTTCTTGTTAACTACCTCCAACCACCATCTTATCTCAACATAGTCCATGCAGTGTCGAGTCACCTAGACTAGTGGCCACACTGCAACTTGGTCGATAGCATTTAATCTGAACCAATAAGTACTTGACATATATGACATCGATCACCACTCAGTGGTCAATCAATTGTGATATTTTGTATTTATTCAACGTTATCCAATAAGGTCATACAACTTTAGTTTTACAAACTAAACTATTTTAAACTTATACATTCTAAGAAATATAACAACGGAAGTATTTTGAACATAAATCATTTTGTTGAAAAAAATTCTCATTTTCTTGTTTGATATTACATTTTAGGCCTCAATAATCTATCGCTAACCTATCTCTTTTGTTAAGTATCCTAAACGACCAGTGTTGTTCTGATGAATCTCAAAGGATCATTCGTATGTTGTTTTAAAATTATTGTAATTATTCACAAAGTTAAGCTTTATATTATTAACTTAACATTGGGTTCTACACTAAAGTACATCAAATTACTTTTCTCGTTCCACAAGGCAGTGTAATCATTTATAAAGTACAATAAACCATCTAATATTCTATTATTGAATTAGGAAGATATTTCAGTAGAGACTAAGCAGACAATGATAAAAGCAGAATTACCAAAACTGATAAAAACAATTTAGACTTTTCTTGAAAATACTCACTTGACGTAGTGTATCTTTTTTCCAGGTATCTATGTGAACAGTTTTAATTAGTCCAACTATATCATCACTTGATACTAGCTCTATGCCGCTACAATTAAAAAAGAGAAACAACATTAAATGTAAGTGTCATGAAGAAAATTAGTTTTTTAAAATAAAAGATCTCACAATTAACTGATATATATGGGTAGATATTATTCCCTGTAGATCTGTTGCTTCATTCTTTCAAATATTTAAGTTTATTTATTTTTTTGAAATATTTTAGATAAAATGTGTGATTATTAGTCCATCGAGAATCAGGTACACTAGTCATACGATGTAGGTTCTATCCTCGATTACAGCTGAGAGACAAGAGATGATCTTCCTGGTCAGTTGTTTCATTGGTGTTTGATTAGGCATATAAAATACATTGTTAGATTTATTTATGTTTATTTGAGACAGGTCTCGTTGTCTATATATTGATATTGTTCTTTGATAAAAATAGACATTGAAAGTAATTATCAACGTTAAATGGAATTCAAAGAACTCTAAATTATAAAATTGAATTAGTAGAGAAACTATCAAATATTATCTCTGTTTGGGATTTCTCATATGTTTTACACAAACTTTTGTAAGTGTAATAATAAAACACTATTCAGCTATTCGTTAATTACTGATGAAAGCTCAATAATATGTCGAATGATTCGTTTAGCTGAAATATCAATTTAAACTAAAATGAAAGATTTGAAGATCTTCAAATCAATGTTAGTTCATGTTTTAAACTAATTTTAGAGACTTTATCTACAAAAGCTGGGGTAGTTTGATCCTAGTATGTGACTCTTCAAGAATGGACATCTATGATTTCGTTTGTGATTTAACTCAAAATCATCAGAATATTTGGTGATTTGAAGTAAAGATTGTTCATGTACAGTGATGAAGATTTTTATACTACGACAAAATAAATGTTCAACTATCCCTGACTTTCAGTGGTTTTCTATTTAAAGTAAATAAGTGATATAAACTATTTTAATTTGATTCAGCAATCTCCAGATTCTCAGGTACATAAGATTTACAGATCACTAATTTACTTTTTTCACCCTTATGTGATATAAATACAAATTTAGTCCCTTTAAAAAATCAATAACAATTCAATAACACTGAAGAAGAACCATTACATTTTTCACTATGACTACAAGTGGAATTTAAAATTAACTCATCAAGTTTGACATAAATTGAAAATATCGAATTGAACTAAAATGACTATATGTTTACACTAGTACTTTTCAATTATCATAAAAATAGTCAAACTCTTCCATTTATGCAAATGTTTGAAAATAATTCAATTGTATAAATGCTTTAAAACAAAGCCTAATTTCTACTATAAAAATATTCTTATCATTGATTAGCTAAAGTATCAAAACACTACACATAATCTGTATGCATGTAAATTAATCTTATGTAATTTCTGAAAAAATGTGTTCTTATTGTGTTGATGAAGTTTAATTTCTCCAGGAAACTCAAGAATTTGAACTGCTGAAAGAGTTAAATATGAATGCATATTTCTCAGTTTACTCGCAATAAGTTGTGGAAATCGTATCCGTAAGAACTGTAGTTACTGTAATGGATCGCTATTGCCTGGGAAACAGTTTAAAACAAGGAAGAATTGGCTAGTTTTTTATATTTTATTTTGCGATTCATCACCAGTTCGAATTTAATTCGTAGCTGGAGACTGAATTTATGACTGTGAGGTTTCATGGAGAGGGTCCTTTTTCAAGCGACTGGGTTAAAGTTAAGTGAACCACATTTTCAATTACATATAGTTCGTCATAAAGAACGAATGTCGTCCATTATCTGTTACTTTTGGAAAATCACTAAACATCACTGGTTGGGACTTCATACTAAAACTTCTAAATCCATTTGGAGCTTCTTTACTAGGAGTTACTTTATTAATATTTGGTCGAATTAAATGAAAATGATGTTCAATGATACATGCCCTTCATGTGGTTTCTTATCTGATGCCGATCTATGATGAAAATCAGATTACATATCATTCCATAAATAGATGATCTGTGAAGATTAAAATATAGGAACATTCCACGATTCGGAAAAGTTTAAATGTTATGGACAGGCAAAAGTAAAACATTTTAGAAAAAACTTTCGATTTAATAGGTTGCAAATATACAACAAAATTTGTTTATTTTTTATAGTATACAATTAATTTTAAGATAAAACATTAAAAACCAAACTCACTTATGTTCATATTTTAATACTTCAAAAGCTGCTCTTGTTGCAACTCGACGTCTCATCAAACGCGTTTGTACTGAAGACTTTCAAAAGTGAGTTATGAAATGCAAATGAAGAGAATAATAAAACTTGCTTAATAATGTATTGTTTTTACAAGCTGACTACACAACCTTCTAAAATAAGGTCAATATAAGCTAGTTGATAGTTTTTCTAATATAGATAATTGAACAAAATTTCACATAATTCGAACATTCTTTTTCAATTTTCTTAAATTATTCATTAAATTATATATGCAATGAACTTAAATGACAATTAGGGTATTTAGATTTTAACAAAGTATATGAATATGATGTTTATTTATTTGTTGGGGCTACGTTTTCACAAAGAAACGTTATAACTTTTGAAATCAATCATGCCTAGTGCTTATTTAGTTTAGTTACTCCATTAGTATACCTATTTCAAAAATAAAACCTGAATCTATGGAGAAAATAAAAATAAATGTATTCAGTAATGAACAACAAGTTGTTTTTTTATGACAACTGAATATCTTCAGTAATTTATCACATATCTCTATTGTATCCATCAAGAATCTTAAACATATAATTATGATTAAGTAGTGATTCATAATTTTCCACTTTAAGCATAAACAGGACTAGTGTTTTTCAACCTAATTACATCAACCGTTTAGTTAATAGACCAACTAGATTAACATATCTAACTAAGCTTTTATTTTTGAACAAAATTATATTTACCTATTGAATAAATTAATATTTTATAATTTGGAGTTGAATTACTTACCATTAAATAACCACTGAACTCACTATATACAGCAGCTGTGAGAATGTTCAAAAGTACATACAATCCTACACCAAGATAAACAATTGAGAAAATTGCTGTTCCTCTGTTTCCATTATATGGTGGAATTAAAACTATAAAACAGAAATATAACATAGTATTACGATAATACTAATTCAACGAATTAAGGCAAAAGAATTGAATATAAATCAAAAATACCATTCACTGTTTGTTTATTTTATTGAAATTTGTCAAATGAAGATTAAAATCTTTGCCTAATTCATCGTTATGAACTAGTTTGTATTTAACATGTTCTTCAAGATGGTTCAAAACACTAACAAACAGTTTTAGTAGTACTTTTCCTTAAAAACATTCTCCTTGATTCAGAAGTTGGGGAACACAGAAACAAACTTACGTTCTAGATTACACATTTAGTCACTTTAACAAAACTATGTGGTAACATTTCAAACTGAGATCCAGATTTTAGAAATCTAGATCTTCCATGAGCACCAGTTCTTACAGATTACAGATACACCTTACTCACGGCTAACAAATACAACGAAACCCAGACCATAAGTGTCCTTCAGGCTATCTCATACCACTTAACAGTTCAACTTAGTCAACAGGGTTTGATGGAGAGACGTGTCATTGGTCACCACTCAGAGTTTATTCAACTAGAAGCCCCTTTATGTAGCTCTGTTTCAATAACATTAGGTTACTGATTTTTCTAGAAATACAGATTTGTGTCTTTTCGTTAACTATAGATAACATAATAATATAATTCCATTGGATTCAACTGATCTCAGTGTTCACTGATTAATTTTTCTAATTTAGTTGAGTTTATCTTAACTAACGTCTTCCCCGATATTCAATGAAAACTGCTTTTCAAAAGACAAGAATCGGGATGGTTAATTTACTTGATTTGAATGATTTTTTAAATTTTGTTCAGTGTTCTCTTCTATCTTTTATTTTAATGAACTTTGTTCACCTGATAAAACACCATTTATTAAATTAACAAATTCGTTATAACTACTTCATATTATCAATCACACAAACCTTGTACTGTAAAGAAGAGTGGATTGTTAACATTGTCGTATTACGTATAAACACACTCGCAGACCACCATGGTTTCAAACCAAACGAGTGTAAAAAAATTTGCAGTTTCATTTATGGTGATCGCTTACTTCACTTGCTCATATTTATTTAACTCTTCTTTTTACAAAAGTCACTAATCCATTCTAAATGCCTTTTTGTCTTTTTACGATTCACATGTTTATGTTTTGAACTGTAATATTGGTTTTATTATCTACGCCCACAAACACAATAGAAATAAGTGTATTGAGGTACAGCCGATTTTAATGTTATAGTTCACTGATTTTGGTTGACCTAAATTCTTTGAATGACGAAACCTTGTGCCAAACTATTCGAATCGTTGCATTTGATGTAAAACTTGGGATTGATATAACCGCTCATTTTCAATAAAAGTACTATTCATGTATATATATATATTTTAAATATTCAAAATCGTTTTATAATTTAGTTTTAATATGTAGAAATAAAACAGTCAAATGTGAAACATTTATTCACATATGATATTGATTGAGGATTGTGCCATATCGTCAGCTAACTGAAATTAAAAAATGTAAACCGTTACATTTCAAATCAGTATCACAACTTTACCATCTTCGGAGAATGATATGAAGCTTTTAAGTTCAGTTTTTGAACAAAATGTCCGGTGGCTCCTGTTGTACAACGATTCTCTGACTTTTGTTAGTGAATGATAAAATCTACTTCAAATTTTACGAACACCCCCACGTCATTTAAAACTAACTGTCTACTAAGATACCAACAAATCATCCTAAACTTGAAGTGGTTGTTTTTATTGAAAACCTCTATTTAAAAAAACTATACTGCTTTTTAACTATTATTAAAACACTAGACACATTCCATATAAAAACTTCTTTTCGAAATCATTTGACTTACTATCAGGATGATTCGTTGTGGTTAAAAGTACCAAAAGACTGAATAATGTATCGTAAAAGTCAGTGAATGCAGTAGTTGTGGTATTGACGACCTGTAAAAAATTAGCAAATCACTTAACATGGCTACCAAGAGCAAATTAATGTTTACTATAATGTTACGGCATTTGTCCAATACAATTTCGGGTTAATAATGTATGATATATTTTACAAATGAAAACTTATCTTAGACAAAGAATGCAAATAAATTTTATGATTCACTTATAACTTTGCGTAGAAGTAAAACTTGATGTACCATTTTAGCAAATACAGGCTATTCATGATCGTAGAGAGGTAAATATCTTCTTCAGTTTTAATTTGCAGATTTCACTTTAATTACCTGGTAAAATGATATCGTATTTATTCAACCTTTTAATTTGTCTTTCGTTATTTTGCTTTCAACCTCTAGAAAGTGCCTATTCACATCATGTAAAGTACAGTTATGCAAATACATTCACTAATAATAATATAGTGAACTGCTTTATTATATTTAGTTTTTACACTTTTGACAACATACCTAGATAGTATTACTGTTTTCGTCGGAACTAAAGCTTGTAATACTCTGATACGTTCCTATCAAATTACTGACATATTATTAGTAAGGTTACAAATATTGGATAAACTGAAACAGAGTAGTGAAACGTCTAGTTTTTCAAACACGTGAGTCTGTCTCCGTGATTTTATTAAGTACTGTAGTCATTGAATATTTACTCCTGGATATTGAATAAAACAGAATTATACCTTTCAAAAATAAGTGAGTTAATTAACTAGATCACTCATTTACTACTATGAACAATGCCATGCAAGTGAAATTTTAAAGCCAGTTATTAAATTTTACTTTAATATCTGCTACAAACTTATTAATTATCAGAAATTTAGGTACAGATATTTCACATCGATTTGCGACTTCTAAGAAATAGGTAATGTCGATCCTTTATGTGGGATCGAACCTAGGAAATCCCTGGTTCCTGGCCAGTTATATGTTGTCGCTTTATGAAATTCATTATTGATCAACATACAATTGGAATCAGTTCAAAGTTATCCTGCCCTTCATTTGGTTCTATGGAGTTCTTAACCTTTTTCGGGTGAGATTCCAACCAATATTAAGCAAAATATAAAACGTTTTTTAGCTGTATTCTAAAGGTTATAATTTTTTAATATTTATCGCTAAAATAAGAACTACAAAGACAAATTATCATTAAAAGACATACTATTTTAACTTACACTATTCTTAGTTAAATCTCGATTTGGTTTATTGAAAACGCACATTGCAACTAAAGTAGCCGAAATTAACCAAAATCCCAGCAAGAATAGAAGACTTGATTATTTTTGCCAAGAAAGTAGTACACGAAGTGAATGATTAAAAAAGAAAAAAAACTAATAGATCACGAACATTATTAGCTTATGCTTTTAACAGATAAACCTCAAAAACTACATTACATGACTTGAAAGCCAAAAGATGATTTTTTCCTTCAAAAGGCATAATTTATATTTCATAAGGAAAATTAACCTCTTTATGAATTAAGTGATTTGACTTGAAATTTACACTGATGATAAGCGTAAATATTAGAGACAATATGTAATTATATCTCTCACTGTCCGAAAGTCATTCACCTGATTCTCTACTTGAATATTTTGATAAGTAATATGTCGATGATATAGAAAATTAAATACTTGAGGCCAAATTAAAAAAGAATAAACGTTTAAGTTTTTGAGAAGTAATTAGAACTTAATGGTCATTCCTCAGTAACTTATATTATGATCAACTGGCTATAGTAACTAATCCAACACGTCTTTACTCATCGCAGTACTTGATGCTGATGTATTACACTTCTAGGCTCTAACATGTTTTTCCACTTTACTGTGAACTAATTTGATTAAAAATCTTCAATCTTTCGGCGGCTACAGTTATCCGCATACATTAAATTATGAAAAAATTCCCGAAAGTATTTTTCATTTCAAAATCACATATTGGCTAAAAGAATCTCTCAAACATTAGTCTAACTGTAATGTGTTTAGGGTCATAAATGTTGTTTTATCATTAATTTTTACTGTCTTTATGGCTTAAGGGTTTAAATGACTTACTGATATCTACTATGGGGATAAAACTCCTGTTTACTCATCTAAACACGGAAACAAACGCCTTTTGATGATGTTCTAAGGATCTGTTTTTCTTCAAATAAGCAATATATGATTATCCGTGACTTTAGGAAAGGAAGAACATTCTGGCAATATATTTCGACTCAGTGGTAAACAGTCATCCTTGAGCTATCATTACAGTAGTAAGTTGAGTGTATTGGTAAGTTGTGTTCTCTGCGTTTTTCAATACTCGTATTCGTAATACTATTCTATTTGTTTTATTGATCAGGTGATTTTTAATTCCAAATGATAATTGATAGTTTAACTTAGGAAGCTTAGGTACAAAGCTTAGGAACATGTCAACTAACAAAACAGAATGAAAAAATAGGGGCTATTAAGACTAAAATGAATTCACATAATTCTCAATCAAAAAAATACTAAATAGAATGTTTTCAGCTTACTTAAAAAGTGTTGGCAGTGTTCTTCTGTAACACTTTAAAACTTTCTTCATTAATTGTGAGCTACTGATAAGAAAATACGGCCGAATAAGACGACGAATGCGATAATACTATATGAACCAAAAACATTTAGATTAATTTTGTTTCGCTTAAACTAGAACAGTGTAAAACCAGACAACAAATGGTAAAATAAGCTCGTCATATAAAATAGAATTGGTCTATTTGTGGCCTACAGTTGTCATTTGATAAATAGTACCTGGATAAAATATTGATTATGTTTCAATCCGAAAACGTAAATAATTTTGTACTCACAAACGTTTATTGGTATCTAAGCATAAATTTGTGTGATCTGAGGATAATATATATTCCTTACATAAGTCAAATTATTGAGAATACTCGTAGCAATTTCTGAAAAGATGGCAACTTTCAGTAGTAACTTATGCTACTGGACAAGAATATCGAAGCAATTTTCACAAGAGATACATATGCCATAAAGGGACTGAATAAGTGAAGCCCTTAACAAATAATCACAAATTAAAGGCAAATTCAGTTTTGGATTATTTAGACTGGTTTTTGTATATTTGAACAAAACTCCAAACCTAGCCTGATACTTTCACATTTATATATGTGACGAAGTTTCCTTGAGTCAGTTCCATCCTGGTTAAAGCTTGAAAGAAACTTTAAATTAGCGCTTGTTATTAGAAAAGTGCATAATGCGTCTATGATCACTATTTTTGAGACCTTACGGAAGTTCAGATACGCGTCAGATTTCCGGACACACTGATTACGACGCCATTTATAGATACTGATTCTCGTAACCTGTTAATAGCATTTCTGCTAATATGGTGACGGTGAAAAGCTGATCAAAAATGATAAGTACAAACATTTGACGTGAATACAATTTCGTTAATTAATCCGTGGTTAACATTATATATATATTATATGTATAAGACGAAGTCTGATTATTGAGTTCTGCATTTACTTTAGGATAAACACATTAGGCTGAAATGTACACGGAATTAAATATTGGTCAAATACAAAACAGCCCATATTGAAGTTATTTTTCAGATATTTTTAATTTAAGCAAATTTTTATATAAAATAATATTCAAGTGTAATCTAGTTTTATATCTTACTTCGGAGCATCGAAGTGACAAAGAAACTATAAGGTCCAAAAGATAAATTACAAGGAAAATATATTTTCCAATTAACCACGGATTTTCACGAACCCAGGGAAGTCCAAATGCTCCTGACTAGAAAATTGTACGCAAAAGAGTTGGCGCAATGTATAAAAATCTATAAAACCAGTTTACAGTCAGTTAGCTAATTTTGTGCACCCAGAGTGAATATCAAAACACAATATTAAACAATTATCTTTTTCAGTGGTTGAGATCATGAGTCACTTGAAGCTAGACCACCATGGAAAACCTGAAAGCACTGAACTGTTGAGAGATAGTAACTCACTGATGACAATGATGGATGTGTCGCTCAATTTAGTGGATTATTTGAAGTTAGACATTAACACCATTGGATGCCGGCTCATTGGTCTAGTGGTTAAGTGCTCGCGCGCGAAACCAGTAGGTCCTGCATTCGAATCTCGCAGGGGGCGAGGTCGTGGATGCGCACTGCTAAGGAGTCCCACAGTAGGACGAAACGGCCGTCCAGTGCTTGCAGGTTTTTCATGGTGGTCTAGCTTCAACTGACTCATGATCTTAACTGTTAAATTACTATAATATCTACAAAAACTTATCTGAAATTATCTTTTTAATTAGCAGATTAAAATACAAGATGGTCCAAATACTTAAAGTTGTTAGGTCATTTGATTACAAACAGTGGGCAGAAAATAAAATTTTAGAATACTTTGAGCACAGTTTTTAAAGACAAAAATAATGCTTTTTTGATAGCTAAAATCACCAACGTTATTCGCTTTTCTTTAGAAAGCGGTTCGGTAAGTAGACTTGTACTTAGTAATCTTAAAATACGTTTTAAGTAACTAAATACGGTTAAACGTTAAATTGTGAATAGTCTATCTATTAACCCTAGCGACGAATTCGTCGGGATATGTAAGGTAAAACGATTAATAAACCCATCAGAACTTAATGCACCGACTAGCAAAATAGTTATTTTCATCATGATATCATGTTCCTGCTTGATTGACTGTGTTTAGCTATTTCTTCATTACTTATAAATTCCGGCCAAATACAGATGATCTAAGTGGAATAATTTAATTAGATAATGACGAATATATATATCTTAATTACAAGATTTGTAATAGGATGATACAGTAGTTTGGCCGGTAATTTTACATTTTTAAATAGTATGTTTTAAACTGTAGGCAGATTGTTGTTCGAGAATTTATCTAACAGATTGTTGAGCGCTAATATGGTTAGTCTTGTCATTAAGCAAACTTTTGGTTGTTTAAACTTTTACGATAATGTTGAATTTAAAACGTTTATTCGTCCTGATATTAAATATATAGAATAAAGTTAAACCTGATTATAAAAGAATATTGTACAATCTGCATAAAATGTACAGAAAAACATTCAATTTCCAGGTATTGATTACTTTAAAAGAATTGAAAATTTGCTTTTCATCAGGCTTCTACCAAAACGTGGTCCACACTTATACTAGATAATTTCTGATGTCTTCCCAAAACGCTTTTTAGTTTAGAATCCTGCATAAAGAAACTACTCGTTTATGTTACAAAATATCTATAACTATAAAGTAAAAACGGTTTTGTCGCTTTTATGACACTGCAAAATCTTGGCAAGTGGCAGATGAGTAAAGCTCAATGTAAAACTTGGTTTAAAATTACAGGAAGGTTAATTATTTTGTGATCTCTGTTCATTTATACTTCATCTAGTGTTTAGAAGATTACTTTTGTAGCTATATTTGCATTCAGTATGCTACGTTTATTTTTACAAAATAAAGCTCTTATCACGTTGTTCCTTATTTTTTCTGTCGCCATCTACGCTTAAAAATATCTCCAAACTGACATCGCTTTCTATTTCTGCATTTATACAGCATCAAAGCGACACGTATATTCTAGGATACCCTTCATATCGTGAAGTTATTCGCCTATCTCGTTCTAATCTACTGTTTAGCATGTTTATGTGCCATTTCAGGCCGTTGATGTCGAAAAGAAAACTGACCTTTTGAGTTCAATTTATTTGTAGTTGGTTTTCAATTCAAATGTCTTACAAATAACATTAGTTTTGGCATTACTTATTATCTTGTCGATTACTACCTTAACTTTCTATATGACTCAAAACGTCGAAAGTTTCGTTGGAGTGTACTACATGGACAACCAGGTTAGGTAGAGTAATGTCTTTTACATTCGTCTATCTGTCAATGAGAAGATGTTTTTAAACGTCTAAAATAAAGTGGAAACGAAAAAAATAGTTTTGACCATTTAATTATTCAAGAGTTATTATCGAGAAACTAAGTAACCCTTAAAGCATACAATTCGTTCCTCTCAAGATTTTAACCCCAAATTGATATCAATGAATTGATGTCGGATTATAAATACAAATTACTAGTGATATTCACAGATAATAATTTATAGTTTAAGAATCTCTATACGGATACAGAGCGTAGAAACTCACCAGCAAAATTGATTGGATAGATATGATCAACAAACACAAAAACTCTATTCCTTCTGTGACTCCACATGGTAGATTTGGAGGTTTTAGTTTCAACCTGATATCGGACGACATTGTCAGGGAGGAAGGCCATTCGAAGAATGGAAGCAAGAACAATATCACTAAGGAAGCTCGATGAAGTATCGTTAAACGCAGACCGTGCGACAATTCATACATAATCAAACTATGTTTGTCCAGCTTGTGATTTATCGAACGGTACTAAAGTACGCTCATAAATATAACACAATCTTACATTTTCGGCATCCTCGATGAGTACTCTGGCCTGCTTTAAAGCAAGATCTAAAGATTCTGGACGAAAAATGTTTAGGCCTACTTTCATCAATCGAGTCACTTCTGCAGCAAAGGAACGTCATTCTTGAGACTAATATGATGCATTCACGAGATTAGATGTGAGCTTTTAACAACCCTGTCGAGGTCAAATCTGTAGAGCTACAGCAAACAAACAACTATTTCAGAGAATAATTTTGGCTTGTGAAAATATTATAGAAAGAAATTTTCATTAATGTCGTTCATAGCATCAGACTTAGCTTTATAGCATTTACTAGGGTAATTTGTAATTTTATGGGATACAGAATTAAAGATGCCACAAGTATTCGGAGTTTGACAACAGCCTCATGAGCTTACTTTTAAATATTATTGATTATGCTGAGTTGGTTCTCTTGACAGTATTTAGTAAAGATTGATCATTTATTGAAGTTTGCACTAAAATATGATTAGGTTTGGTCTAAACCGTTTCACCCTCCTCCGGTTTATTCTGGGTTTTATTAATCGGGTTGGACAAATAAATTTCTAGTACTTTTACTCCATGCTTTATTCGTCAATTGTTTGGTGGTAGTATAATTTGAAGAAACAGATAGTGCTGAAGTCAACTGCGCACTTACTGAATCAATAATTGTGGGCCTTCCGAACTCTTTTCAAGAGACTAATTATCCATTAATTTTATTCATGTTTTGACGACTTTTAGTTAATTTTGTTCAAAGACCATAACGTTCAAGAGTATGTTTTGTTGATGGTCGACAGTGATGCTTGCCTAGGTCGTCTTGATCCATACTGTCAGAAGAATGAACTCGGTCAAGTATTGTAGTCAAATCCATGTGAAGTTCTTTACTTTCTCCAGACGGCTAGAGGAAGAGAACAGATTCCAAATCTCCGTGCAGTCCTTCGAAGTTTGCTTCGAGAAGTGTGGTGGTGATACTTTGATATGCCCGTGTTGCAGTGGCTTGGCGTACTTTATTTATTGTACACTGTTATCAGACTGTCTCTTATTTCTCAGTTTGCTCAACGATAATAATCCCGGATTTTGGAGTTTGTCTTTGTTAGATTTATGTCTGAGTCCTATCCTCCTTTTAGTTGCCTGGCTCTGTAGTTGGTCTGTGAGACCTGAATCTCTCTTGAACAGAAGGCGTAACTACGTTGTGGACTTGAAGTTGGGACCGTGCCTAAGTTTTAAAGTGTTAGAAACAACTCTAATTCGCATTTGCCTTAGGTGCATGTTTTATGTAGTCTGAGCGGGTACCTTAAGCTATCCGTCGTTACAAGTACGAGAATACTCTCTGAAGTGACAATCTGGAGTGAATGTTTGTGTAGGGTTTACCTCTTTTGTGTCAACAAAGGCAGAATGTTCATGATAGTACATTCCGATAGGTAGTGTTTTAACCTATTGTCTACTGCTCACCCCACAAAAGTTGTAAGATCCTTTGAAACTCAGGTGAATGCTTTTCGCTTTTTATGGACATCGGGATTCTTGCATCGATTCGTTTGTATTTAACATGTAATTAATATAGATCAGGAACAGTAGTAAAAGTAAGACTTTTCCTTGTGGAACTCTTAATGTTGAGACCCTTCAAATAGTGTGCAATCTGTTTGCCTTTGTAAAAAACGGTCTGTTCCTTAGGTAGTTTCGAAGGCAAGATTGAAGTGAGTCAGTTAAACCCATCTCAGCAGCTTTCACTTTGAGAAGTACATGGGACACTGTGTCAAAGGCTTTCATGAAACCGAAGACTTATATGTGAATCATTACCATATGGCATTATCAGGACATCTAGCTTTTCTATTTTGTTAAAGGGTCGGGAACACCGGACCTGCCTCTCCTGAATTCGTGTAGTGCTCCATCGAGAATGATGACTTTATCAATTTATTTACTCATTTGCGCACTGGCTAGTTCCTTCATTACCTACGATAATACTGGAAGTAATGTGGCTGTTCTGTAACAGGTTGGAACTTTCCTATTGTAAAGAGAGCAGACTACTTCCATCCACCTGGCGTGAATCTAATGAGTCCCTGAATAGGCCATGTAACGATCGGTCTGAACACACACAATTAACGGAACAAAGTTTATTCGATTAGGTCATGTTACTTTCTTTTTTATAGCGTTTTTGAGTGGCTCGTAATAAATTATATGAAAACACAAATTCTGCGTTCAGTTCAAACGGTCCTAATTTGAAAAAGAGAATAAATTATATAAAGAGCACATAATACCTCATACCGTGCAGCCTGTGCTATGCAGTTAAGAGTTTCTCTAGCACAAACCAACCTATTAGATAACAAAATGGATAGTTAATGAGCACGAGTTCGATACCTGAGGATCAATATAAATATTCTCAACAAGATGGGATCAGATATCTGTCTGCAAGGATTCCAGTAACGTTTTCGAGAAGATAGTCAAATGGCAACATTTATGCACTCAACCACACCTTGACCTTGGTTTAAGTGAACACGACCTTACTGTGAATGATCCGGAAACATGCAACAGTAGATTACGTAATCAATGATAAGTCTTTAACCAAGATCAAATAAGAAAAGCCTCGACAAGGAAGACTGAATAACATAGAGTGTGGTTAAAAAGAGACCTGAATAAAGGGTAAAAGATAAGACCGGGAAAAGATAGAAATAAATGACAAAACTGTCTCATGGAATGCTGTGGAAAAGTGTTCAACGTGTTCTTTTCGTATTAGGTCACATTGATGTGCCAATGACTTTCGCGCACTGTTCCAGGATTGTACGTCAGATATTATCTCTTCCTGGTGACTTTACAGAGCGCAAGGATTTAAGTCATTAATACTAACCTGAGTAGAGTTCACTATCATCCAAACCCTGAAATGACGCCAGGGTTGAGAGGTGCATCGTGCTTTCAGTCTCCAGTTTGTGGAGTAGGCATTAAATATCTTCGCCATCTCTAAGTTTGTAATATCTTCGTCGTTTGTCATTTATAGGATTTTTCCTTCTCATGAATCTGTTAAGATATCTAGGATCAGTTTGCATATTAGCTGCTAGCTTGGTTTTGAACCATCTGTCGCTTCAGACTTAGGCTTTTCATCATATCCCCAGTGACAAGTAAGATCTATGTTCATAGTCCTTCAGGGAAACCTTCCACTTGCGATAGGCTCCCTTGTTAGTCAGCAGAAAGCGTCACGTGCCTTGGACTTTTGCATTACTGGTGTGCACTCATGCTGAGGTACACTGTGTTGAATAGCATTCCAAATGATGCAATCGGTGTGATAGCTGCTGGTAGGAGCAATCTGTGCAGTCCAAATTGAAGCCACACTAGCGTGATCCTGTCACCTCGGTTAAATCAACACTGTACGATCTCACTGTTTTAAAGTGACCAGTAATGAATTTTACCATTTCACCCCCGTTTTGTGTACCATATTGTATCGAGAAGTGTTATGCCTTGCATGCTCACCTTTCATCTGTAATGTTTCGATCAAGACCATGATTTCTAGATCGACCCGAATGCATAAGTTTTTGATTTCAGCCAGTATACCCTCTAGACCTCTCACCTTGCTAAGGAGGCACTTGATGACTTTTATCGGCTGGTGCTTCACCACAGCAGTATAAGTCTTTTTAAACAGACTGTTTTCTTAAGTTCCTTAAGTAGCTTCATGCGAATTGGACACTGTTGTTCTTTGTCTGCAGTGTATGTTCCATAAGCGGACCGTGGTTTCTGTGTCCCCGACTGTGGGTTGTTGATCAAGGTCAACCGTAATCAAGATATGTGTTGTTAGGCTTTTCTGCTTTCACCTTACCGCTTTAGACCTGCTTTCGCGACACCTGACGTGACCAAATAAGCCGCTTTCAGAGTTGTACCGTGCTAAGAGGGCCCCAGCTAATTCTCGGTTTCTGAAATCCGTGGGCACTAGGTGCAGAGACCCATTGGTCGTGATGTGTAAGAAATGAGGTATCAGGAGCACTCTAATTATCTTGGTGGTGTAATGGCCTATGATATGTAAGAGTCAACTCCGCTTTTGCGTCTCGTGTTCACAAGCTTCATCCTGACTCCCACTTACTTACTCAAGCACTCCATCAATCACAATGCTGGACACCATGGGACACGTTTTGACCGTAACACGGGCAGTATAGCTTGACTGAAGTGATATCCTTTCCCAGGATTGTACATCACTTAATGTACTGTTCTTTATCAAAGGCTGCCCCACTTTCTGATGAGCTACTCGCCGACACTGTAACATAATTGAAAGTCAAGTTTTTTCGCTTACTATTTTAGTCCACCGTTTTTAATGGTTCTGGAAGCTATGCTTTAGCCGTTTCCCTTCCCGAGAAAAAAGTGATAGAGATAAGTGCTTTTAAGCTACACGAGAACTGAAACTGAAAAATGCTTTGTAGTGGTAGATAGATCTGTAAGTCTTCGATATTCATGATGGCCTCATTATTTTTACTGGACACACTCTAGATGGAGATGATTGGTAACGCATCCCCACGACCTCATCAGTAGGTAAGCAGTGCTTCGCATCCCTTGCACTTGCTAGACAGCTTAGACCAGACGCTTCTCGACATATCGAAAGCTTTACAAATATACCTGCAAACCCCTTCATTTCTGACTCTGTATTTGACTGGGTTGATATACATCGATTATAAAGGTGTTACGTGGTAAAGTGTTGCCAAACCACGAATACCAGTGACATCTTCGACTTAAAACTGAAATATTACGCTTGACTATCCTAGTAATAAACTTCACAAGAGTATGGTAACTTATCCACAACTCCTGTGTTTGCGCAAATGTGGATGTGTTTTTTGAATTTGAAGCAAGTTGAAGCAAGGCAGAAGCTAATCGAGAAAGCTAGACCTATGGCACCATGGTTCAACCCTAGTACGATTATAAGTTTCAAATTTGTTACTTTGCTCGTCTACCAACTAGGTGAGGATGTAGTTCCTATCCTCAAAGTAGTTTAATATTTCAATACGTTAGTGGAATGACGGATATTTCTGGCTGTTGGTGAGAGGTCAATAATTTTATGTCATACTTGAAGAGTTACCAGCGGATGGAAGAAAATCTACCAAGTGAGTTTTCAAGGGAATTTGAAGAGCATTATAAGTTTACAGAGCCAAATGATTTAAAAGAAACCTGAGTGAGCAAATTCAGATAGTAATTCGACGCTTAAAGGGTAAGCAAGAATGATAAATCACTGCTCGTCTGTGGTTTAATAGGATGAGATTACGTACTAAATTTTTACTTCCCTTGAGAGTTTCGTCAGATAGTGTAATCTCAGCTTTCCTCAGTCTGAAGGTATTC